ATTTTTTTGAAAAAATGTATAAAAATGAATGTTGAAAACAATTTAGTTCATTTAATTAAGTAAGAAATAATATTTTTTATAAACTTGATGTATATTAAACCCATATTTATACAAATAAATCAAAATATTTTAAACAGTTTTAACAAACAGGGGCAGATTGGTCATTTTTACATAAAACAGCTGGCTCTCAACATTTTTCACGCAGCTGCACCAAACAGACAGTCAACTTCCCCACAGCTGCTTCCCTACAGCTGCTTCCTGGGGCAGCGCAGGGCAGCGCAACTGCAGCTGAAAAGCTGAGAATCTGCAGCTGCGCCAAACAGGCCCTTAATGGATAGTTATTTGGTTGGTTTGTAATTATAATTGACTGGTTGGAATTTGACTGATTAAATGGCTAAAATCAACAATTTCACTCTTTCAACTTGTTAAAATTTACTTTAATTACTGCTATGTCTTATTTATTTATGAAAATATTGAGATGACTTCCTTTTTGATGCACATGTGGGTTTAACTTATACAATTTTGATCTCTATGGCTATTTTTCTGAATTTTTACGTTAGATGATTTTTGTGAGCAATGGTGTTATCCAACAAAATTAATATGACTCAACAAAGTATGCAGTTTTCTTCCAATTCTAGTATCACACTTGCACATAACCATTTAATCTTTAATCTTTGGTTTCATCTATATCCAAATGGAGCAATGCTTATGTGTTAGTTTTGTTGCGATTCATTCCTGTTTAGAGTTTTGTTTTCCATCTGCTAGCAGCTATATTTTTATCAGGCCATTTTGAACATATACTACCTCATCTTTTTCATCTTTGGGCCTTCTTGATTCTTGTGAATTACTAACTTTGTTGTCTGCTGATCTGCTAGAATTTAAGATATTCATAGTTTCCTTGTTGCAAGGAAGATCATATTAAACGGATTCTTGCTAATTTGTTGGAGTTGCCATTTATTTTTGTCTTCCTGCATGTGATTTGGAAAATTGGTAGTCCTGGATGGAGCCAATCGAATAGTCGCAGGGTTATTTTTGAGTTCGATGTCTCTTTTAGTCTCTACTATTTTGCTTTTTCCCATATGTTTTCTCTTTTTGATATTGCTTTTGAAATGTTCATATTCTTCATTTCTCCAACGTAATTGTAAATTTTAATTTATTACTTGTTTGTTGTGATTATTTTTTGTTGCAACTTTAGATTTTAGTTTTAAATTTGTACTGAAATTATTATTATAGAATTTTTTGTTAAATTGTAATCTTTGAGTTCAAGAAAATAGAATTTTTTGTTACTTAAAGAAGGATGTTCTTTTTTTGGTATTCTGTTTAAATAAATAATTAAATTTATTATTGTTTAATTTCTACAAGCTCATTTCGAGCCGAACTTGAGCCGAGAACAAACAAATTGAATGCAATTCAAACCAAACACAAACATAATGTTCATGAACAATTTGAAACACGAGTTTAATTCGAACAGATAAAATGTCAAAAGAGCCAAACATGAACAGTGATTAGGCTCGCACATGCTCAGCTTGTGGCATCCCCAATGAGCGTCTCATTCATACGTGGATCTTATTTCAAATCATGTAGCCATTATTCTCTAACGAAAAACAAGTTTCAATAAACACACAACTTAATAGAGCTACAAGTACATGGAAATCTTGAACTTTCCTCTTAATATGTTATACTTCTCTCCTTTCAACCAGGCCTGACGGCTGCAAACTCGAAGCAAGTTTCCTTGCTATAAAACATCTCAGCCATGCAGAAGATCACTCAGCCCATTTGAGAATTAAAGATCACAAGGTCTCCAATATATCGATAAGTTTAAGAGATTACTCCTTGAATGCTAGCTAAAGCACCCAGGCAAATGATATTTCACACTTACTCAAAAGTTCAAGAGACTACTTCATGTATAAGAACTACAACCCCTCTAAGCCCCTAGGCGAACGACAACTCAAACTTAGCAAAAATAATCCTCATCCTATGGCCAAGTTGTGGACACAGTAAAAACAAAGTTGCCAACCACAAAACCTTAGAGGTTTATTACTTATCCTAAGATTTGTTTCGCGGGTTCACTTCCTAGGAGGTCGAAGACCACTTGAGAGCCAACGTGCATTATATAATTGTCTGCATTAATATATTATTGCTCGCTCGGAGATTACAACACTGAAATATATCAAACACTTCATTCATTGTTCATTTTGCAGTTGGCTACTAAAAAAATGAGAATCAGATAACTATCCCTACACCCATGAACGGCCTTCGTGAGCCAATGTTAACATTAATAGGCCTTCCTAAGCCTAACAGGTCTATTTCCCTTCAAAAAATGCAGGGGACAAGCTCTGCACACTGAAGCGCCAAATGCCACAATCCAATTGCTGGATTGATTAGCTGAGATCCTCCATCAAACTCATTCAACAACTTAACTGCCATCTTGACCGGCCGAATTGAGCTGTTGAGATCGTCCGTTGAGCTCATCCAACAAATATTCTATGGAGCTGACTAACGATGAAGTGTCGATCATCATTAAATAACAGACATGCATCCAAATCTATTTATGAATTGTCTGACATCCATGTCATCGCCATCTTTCGTTAGCACTTCATGGACAGACCTCATACCACACCATAATTATTTAATATTCTCTCTTTATAACCCGACAAAAGGGGAATCCATTTAGAGTCACATAAATAGAAGCTCTCCCGCCTTTTAAAGGGAGATTACTCTCTTTTCTACCTTCATCAGTTTCCATCCTGACCGAAGATTGAAGTTGAGGACTTCCAGAAAATGCATCAACTTTTATCACTTCCTTCGTAGGTCTTTCTTAGGTTGTATGAGCCCACGAACAACACGGGACCGAACGTCATAAAAGGACTCAACAAAAAACGACAATAGCAAGTCTTTATCCCACTATGTTGGTTCAGCTACATGAATCCTTTTTCTCCATTGCGTCCCATTAAGTGTTATATTTTCATTTAATTCTAATAAATTAAGATCATTTTTATACAATATGCCCAAGTCTTTTTAGGTATACCTCTACCTTTCTTAACATAAGTCGAATCTAAAACATCTACTCTCCTAACTGGATCATCAGATGGTTGTTAATGTGACCAAACCATCTAAGACCAAACCATCTAAGAAGACTCTCTCTAAACTTGTTCGCCACTAGAGCCACACAAATCCTATCATGGATAAACTCATTTCGTATTTTGTTTCGAGGTGTCAAGCCATTCATCCACCTAAACCATTTCATCTCAGCAACACTTAATTTTGTTTTGTGTTTCTCTTTTAAAGGCCAACATTCTGCACCATAGAGCATTGCGAGTCTCATCACAATCTAATAATTTTTTTCTTTAAGTCTATTTAGTAGTTTTCTATCCACAATAAGCCCGATGCATTCCTCCAATTTAATCAACCAACTTGAATTCTACTAATAACATCCCTATCTATATCACCATCACTTTGAACAATAGACACGATATACTTAAAGCATTCACTCCTTTTAAAGACTTAATCACCCATTGTTGCAAACTTACCACTAGATCTACTACTACTAAAATTACATTCAATGTATTCAGCATTAGATCTACTCAAACGAAGGCCTTTAGACTTCAATGTAGACCTCCATAATTCAAGTTTTTCTTGAACGCTCTCTCTAGTTTTATCCACAAGAAGGGTATCATCAACAAATACACCAAGTTACATCCCCTATAAATGTCCAATAAGAGCATCCATAAATAAAGCAAAAAAATATGGGTCTAAAACTGCTCCCTGATATAATTCAACTGAAATAGGAAAATACTTGGTCAATCCTCTTTCTGTTCAAACATAAATAACAACTATAGCATAAATCTCTTTAATGACTTAAATATAAGTCATATCAACGCCGTTCTTCTCTATAACTCTTCAAAAGAACTTCCCTTGGAATCTCATCATAAGTTTTTTTCTAAATCAATAAAAATCATATGTAGGTCCTCTTTAATCTCTTTACTTCTCCATCAAACCTCTCAATAAATGTATAGCTACCATAATAGACCAGCTCGATATAAATCCAAAGTAATTCTAAGAAATCTTTGTATCACGCCTTAATCTATGTTTAATTACCCTCTCCCATAATTTTGAAGTATGACACATTAGTTTAATTCCTCTATTTTAATTCCTCTATAATTTTCCTCTATAATTTGCACACTCTTATGCATTCCCTTTAATCTTAAAAAAGAGATCAAAATACTCTTCCTCCACTCAAACATCTTTTTAGTGTTTAAAATAATATTAAAGAGTTTAGTAAGAAAAGAATCTCCTAAATCTCCTAAATATTTCCACGCTTCAATTGGGATATCATCAGATCCTACTTATTTTCCACCATTGATTTATTTAAAATCTCATCAACTTCTTTTTTACAAATGCAATGATAAAACCAAAATGTTTTATTATTATTAACGATATTAAGATCACTAAGGTTGATCGTATTTTCAGAAACTTCATTGAAAAGTTTATAAAAATAGTTCATCCAAAAAATAGTTCATCCACCTATTTCATCCACCTATGTTGAATATCTTACTCTAAGAAAAACACTTGAATTAAATATTTACATTTCTTTTATCTTTATTTAGCCAGTTTATATATATCTTTTTCACCTTCTTTAGTATATAATCTATTATAAAGATCACTAAAAGCATAATTTTTAGTGTCACAAATTGTTCTCTTAGACTCCCTATGGACCACCTTATATTTTTCCTAATTCTTTAAGTTTTTACATTTAAACCATTTAAACCATTTCTAAGGACTCAACAAACATTAATCTCAAAATAAATCTGATAATTTTCAAGCTCACCTTAATACAGTTTGTATCATATAATCCTAACATTTTCTCATAAAAAAAAGTTCATTTTAAAATTTGAATGTTGCCTTCATAAATAAAGATGATTTTATTGACATAAAGATATACATATCTATATATATATATATATATATATATCCTAAGAAACTTATGTTTGTTACATCACCTGGTTAATGTGGGCGGCCACACAAGGAAGAACCAAAAGTCCAGGCTCGCCTAGAGCTCCCCTTAGCTGCTCAACCACAGCAACCATAACTGGCAGAGTTTTCTGCATAATTAAATGAAGATCCAAAGTTTAGACTTGAGATCACATTTTAATATACAAAGGAGACAATCTATTAGTTACATCAGTATTTGCCCCTCACAGTTTCACGAAACTAAAGAATTTATACAGAAAATTCGTGGTTGAGTGTTAAATCACTGTAGGCTGCTGCTGAGGCTAAGAGTGATGCAGAGATAAATAAACAACACTATGTTTGAATCCCTCGTTCCTTTCCGGTTCGAACCAAAGCACCTGCCTTCTCCCTGTGTTCGCATGCTAAAGCCAAAGCTTCCTCCCTTTGTTCACCAAAGCAAATGCTTCAAAGACCTATGCCCATCTCCCTAATGATACGGTCACAATTAGGGCTAGCTAAGATGAGATTGCTGCGTACAAAAGCCTCTGAAACTCTCCTCTCTCCGGCGCCGCTGTTAATGTCCACGTTCCCCTCACACTCGTCTCCTTAGATACAATCACAATTAGAGTTAGCGGGAAAGGCAATCACGAGATTCTTGTTTACAAAGGTTTCTAAAATTCTCATCTTTGCTCGTTTGGCCTATCCCACTTGCATTACAGTCACGTCCAAGGCTAGTCTGAAGACAACAACGGGATCGCTGCACATACAAGTCTCTGAAACTCCTATTTTTCCCTGTGCCACACGATTAACAAGCCTAGCTGCTCGATCCTACCACACGCAAGCCGCGATATCCTCTTTTGGTTCGCACACTGTAGAGCTATACATATTATTAAAAGAAATTTTGTATTGAAATTCATCGTATCATCGAATACTTCTATTCATCATTGCTATCTCGCACTCAAATGTATAGAAAGCAAAGAATGTATAGAAAGCAAAGAAATTATAAGTACTCGTTCTGATTAAATTAACTCGGCAAGGAAATTGTACTCGCGACACTTTCATGCAAGTTAATCGAACACCACCCACATTCTATAAATCTGTGGATTAGAATTCTTCCGGTTGCAGTGTTTCACAACAACGAGCAGTGCATCTGATAGACAGCCTAGAGGCCAGGCATCACGACACAGTCCCCCCTATGCAAGGGCGACGCCAGGAGGCTGTCAAATTTTTGGTGATCTTGGACTTGCAAATAATATAAAAATATAGACTACTTGGACTTTAGAAATGACATAAAATTTAAAGAAAATGCATGTTACAAAATACATTATAACACTTAAACTATAATTGAAGCTATTTAAGAAATAAATTAAATGCACTTGAGACATGCATAAGATTCACGAAAAATTGAACGACCCATCAATTAATAAAATTGAACTTTTCTTTGACTTCAAATTCGATCATATCTAAAAAGTGAACAAATAAAAATCTGTCTTAATGCAAATGACTCTTTATGTGATCCATTTTAATACAAAAATTCAAATACATAGTTGTCATTTTTAAAGGCTAAAACATGACTTAATATGCATTTTCGTCACTGGATGTGCAATTATAATTTACAAGAAAACAAAAGACAGTTCTTTTTAAAGCCCAAAAATATAATTTTGCATGCTTTTCAATAAAGGTAATGCTTTAACTCAAAAGATCTATGTCGAAATATATGTAAGTAAACCATGGCCTTTCAAATAATTAAACAAGAGTTGTTCAATTATGTGCAAATGGTTAAAACATCATGTTATATTTTGAGGGTCATAACACATTATGATCGAATATATGTGTATAATCTCAAATTTAACTATAATTTACCCATATGGGCTCCTAAAATTTTAAATGCTTTAACAAATAGCTTAGGCATATTGCGCTGGTTAAGACCAAACTTACACTCAAACAATTCATATTTTGAAAAACAATCAATCGGATCGTTTTATGTATAAGATAGGGTTGTAAGTCTAATCATCTAGTCTGATCCTACTCCTCGTAAGGACTAAAGTTAATAAGTCTATAAGTCTAGTAACTTTAAAATAAATGTCCTAATCATAAATGTAAAAATTTACAAGTCAAAATCACCTAGTCATATCTTCCTCCTTATTAGAACTAGAGTCGACGGGACTAATATATTAAATATATCAAAATTGACAAATGTCAAATGAATATTAAAGATGAAAATTTTAGATGTCAAATCCTCAATAATGGCCGAATTGGTAGAAGTTTTCAACTGAAGGAGTCTATTTTCAAAATTAAATTTTAAAGTCTATTTGAATAAGTTCAAATAATATATATATGAACCTGATCCAACATAAGCATGACAAAGTTGACAAGGTTCATATACAATCATATGTCAATACTAAATTCGATCATTTATAAACAAGATGTAAAATTGACAGCGTTCCTCAATGATGGCCGTGTTGATTGAAAATCTCAATCGGAATGGTCAACTTTTAAATTTATTGCCAAATATTCAAATTAAAATCAATAACCTAAAGACTTCAAACAAATAAAACCAAATACTCACTTAAAAATCAATCACCCAAGACTTAAAGAAAAATAAGTTCACCCTCCCCAACTATTTGTCGGGACTGACAAACTTCCAATTGACTTCAGTTCATAAAGAGTGAATGTCATATCGAGTGTATCCATGTATTCACACTCAAAATAATCTCATTCCAGTAAGGTCGTGACCCAAGTCTTCTGTCTGTATGATTTTGCCATCAAATGACACCACAAAATAGCAGTTATAACCGGAGTCCTCTGATCGGATAGTTGATGCATAATGACATTATTATATTATGGTCACGGTTGCAAACCTTATGTTTCCCAAAATTTTTTACCTTTTGAGTCCTAAACTACAAGGGTAAAATTGATTGACAAAGCCTTATGTCAGCTAAGATCGACTTATATTTTGTCCATTAGACAAACATCCACCCCATATCTATAAAGCTCTCTTAGATGCAACATGGTTGTTGAAAAGAAACATTCAATCAGGTTTAATCGAATACCACTTGTAAGTAAATCAGGGACCATGACAATCCGGGAAGACGAAACCATGGGATCTTGATAAGGCTTGTCATCATTTCACCCACCATCTGCTTTAAGCTCTAAGGAATAGATTTTTACAATTTCGAATGTATGTCTGTTGCTACTAAATATTAAATATCCAGTATTTAATGACTAGCCCTAATTGAAAATACTCTCATATTATCAAAAGAGGTAATTAACCATAGGGGGCTTGAGATCATGGGGAATCTTGAATCCCATATCATAAAATCATTGCAAAATGAGGGCAAAATCTTTGGATAACGTTTTAACTACAATACAATTTGCCTTATGAAAATTTAACCCTTAAAACTCTCTCAACAATCAACAAACAAATGAGAGAATCCCGAGATATTTTGAATTTTTGAAGCCCACATATGGCTCTCATCTTTTTAGGGTATATTTAGGATAGTTTTCTGCTTGCATTTTGTTTCAAACCATCAATACAGTTCTACTTATTGTTTTCTAAAATTTTTGTGATGGAAAATTATTTTTTGCAACCATATATACTAATATTTTGGTAGTTACAAGAGAACTATTGTTCGACCTTTTGGGAAAAGTAAATATTTATAATTCTTACCAAAGTATTTTAAGAAGTTACTTTTTTAACCACACATTTACACTTCTATGAAAAGTAACAGCCATCCCAAACAAACCCTTAGAGGAATAACATTTATTGGATCTCCTTAATAGTACACTTAAGGTTCAGCTGAATGGATATTGATTAAAAAGAACATTCGAATATGAATGACAAAAGCTAATCAAGTTTTGTACTTTTCGGAAATTAAAACTAGTCCGAAAGTTTGAAGATATATTTCAAGCATCTTAACCCTAGCACTCAAAAAAAAATTGCGATTAACTCACTAACAGGCTCCAAAAAAAAAGGTTGGCATTATCGGCAATGGAAGGTATATGTATGTCCTGGAACTCAGCATTTGTCATGATTTTTATTTTGGAATATTTACATACATTTCACACAATTCCTATGTATTTACATATCTAACACCTAAAATTTAGTTATTCCATACATGCCATCTTACCTATGCAGTAAAGATATATATCAGTTTCTAAAAATTAAAATGGTGGTATTTTTTATTTAATTTCAAAAGTTCGGATGGTATAAAAGTTAGATATGTAAATACATAAGAATTGGGCTGTATGTGAAAATTGCCCCTTCTATTTTCAAATTCGAAGCATTGGAACTATAAAGAACTTTGAACGGACCTGACTGGCAACAATAATGACTGCACATGCATTCTCTCTTTTTGCAAGAATTGACTGTTCATCTCCGGAGAGCATTGATAGAATCCGGACGGCAAAGGTGTTGAGTGCCAAAAGAATGATGTGTAGGAGCCTGGGGTACAGGAAAAAAGACGATTGTTAAGTTCATAAAGAAGACGCATTCATGCTTTTTCAATCAATAATGGTGATGATCAACAACACTGCTCGCAGTTGAAAGCTTACACCCTAAAGATGAGAAAGTAAAACCAAAAATAAAGGGCAATTTAAATACATAACACAATTCTCATTCATTTACATATAACACCAAAAGTTTGATATTTACACTTATAAAACCTTGGTATCATAAACCTATGCATGAAAAGTTGTATTTAACTTTAAAAGAACAGTGAAGGTGATATTTTTGATGTGATGTAAATTATTAGTGTTATGCATGTAAATATGAAGTTCAACATACAAAATTGCATCAGAATTTTAATATAGATTTACCACAGATGGTTACATTAGGTTGCCATGGTTTCAAATTTTACAAATATTTGATTGCAGAGTAAATACATTCTTATTTTCTCAAATACAAATATAAGTTGACACTCCATCTATATAACAAAAAAACTCAACAACTGAAACATGATAAAATGCTCAAAATCACCCTAGATGAAATAACAGCAAAAAATTGATATTTATTCAAGGGGTTCCGCTGCCGAACCCTTAAAATGGGGGAATAACAACCCGATCAATGAAATGCATATTCTTCGTACAGAAAAAATAAGGTTCCACATCTTAAGAGGGCTGGACTGCAGGACTTTTCCAATACTACTTGAGGCCCCTTTTGGGGCAGCGGAAAGGCAGCGGCGCGGCGGGGCAGCACTCATTTTGCTCGTTTGGGGCGGCAGGAGGGCCACGACGCGGGGTGGTTTGGGTAAAACGTGAACAGTGGGCACGACCCCGCGGCTCTCTTTTCTCTTCACGTTTTTACTTTCGATGCCCTTCGTCCGCCCTAACTCCTTCGTCTTTTACTCTTGGATTTATTAAATCTAGTTGGAAGACGGCTTTATGGGATTTAGAACAGCTGAAGCGTGCAAAAGGGGGTGGAAGGAAGACAACGAAATATGAGGGCTACCTTCCTCAATCGTTTCAGCCAGGAGCGAAGCTGGAGGAAGAGGAAGATGGGAGGCCTTTGTACGCCCCGATCCCTTCGTTGCCTTCAAAACTAGCTCTAGTCGCGAATGTATGGCTTTGGTTTCGACCTCAAGTAGAACAGACGGGGAAGATAAATTTAAATTGGTTTTATTAAGGCTAATTTTTTTTAATTTAATAATTATGTTATTAAGTTGTATATAATCATATTTTCAACTAATACACTTAAATTCATATCGACAATAGCAAATTTTTTAGTCAATATTTTGCATAGAAATTAATTTTTTCAAAAGTTATTATGATTATTTTAAATAAGACAAATTATAGGAAGGAGCGCCTTAAGAATTTCATTTTTGGAAAGAAATGGAAAAAAAGTGTAGATTCAAATGTACTATATCTCGTACATATCTGAATTTTCGTACTGTTTTGAAGTGAATTTCTACTTCAAAAGTATAAAATATATTATTATCACAGTTATGTTACATACAACATTACTAAACAGGGGCAGAATGGTCATTTGTCCAGAAACAGCTGCCACGCAGCTGTTTTCAAATAACTGAAACAAAAAATCAGTCAGCAGCTGAGAAGCTAATAAGTTGCAGCTGCCCCAAATAAAACTTGAATCCTCATCCAATACCAAATATGAAAACGAAGCATCCATCGGTTCACACAAAAGAACATTCAGAATAAAAAGTAAATAAATAAACAAACTCATTTTTTATACTTTTACATGGTAAATTAATGATCATTGATATTTAGCCTTTGTGAAGTTGGGCAGAACCATTTGGTGATGCCACATGTAGTCTAGTGATTCCACATGTAGTCAAGCAGTTGATTGATAAGTTCCATTCTAAACATTCATCCTCTCTTCCTTTTTCTGGATTTTTCATTTATTTTAATATATTTAATATTACTTCCTGATCATTGAATCTCTTGGTTTACTCACCTTTTAGTACATTTATCATAGCTCTTCTAGTAGCAAGAAAAGGTCTACCTAAAATGGGTGGGATTGTTTTATCTTCCTCCATATCTAATACAATGAAATCAATGGGAAACATAAATTTATCCACTTTTACTAACACATCTTCATTAATCCCCTTTTGTTAAGTAATTGATTGATTAGTTAACTGAAGACTTACACAAGTGGGGGAAATCTGTATTATTGTGCTTTCGTTTCTGTTTTGAGTCCATAATGTATCTCCATTGTTTTGGAGTAATAAAATCCGCTTTCCTATCGAATTTTGGGTTAACTCCGGTATCATAATCTTATCATGCGCCATATAAAAAAAAACTAAAATCAGCTTGAAGAAAAGAAATACATTTGGATGCATCTAAAAAGAAGGCTTCACCGATGCGTTTCATGCAAAAAAGGATACCACAAATAATAAAATAATTATTTCTTCCAACTGAATAACTAGAAACTATAATAATAAGAATTGAATGAAATATTAAAAAATACCAAACTTCAAAATTAGCACGAAGGGGGTATTTATGAAAATAGCCAGGCAACTAAAAGTTTAAATTACTCCTAAAAGCTTATTATATATTTAAAGTTTTGAAAGAAAGAAAAAAAAGTTAAATTACTCAGAACATTAGATTATATACTATGTTTCATGTAGCTCCACATTTTTCAAAAGGCTCAACATAGTTATGATCCAACTACATTTAGGTCCACACTCTGTTAGTTTCATCTAAGAAATTTGAAGAACCCCAAAAGATTTACACAATGGTTGGGAGACCTTGAGAAAAGTCCATCACTCCCAAACTCGCAACCCACTGTCATCCTGTTACCCTTTTGCTACTTTTGCAGTATCACCGTCCTTAATCAAAGAAAGCAGAGCTTGAGGAACAATCTACCACCTAAGAACCTCTCTTCAATTCCGAAAATTAAAAAAGGAGCCATCATTCTATCTCAATGATAATATCAGCTTCCCTCTCATCTAGAACTAGAATTTTATTCTAAAATATTTTGCCTTAGTTTTATTTTGTGCTTGATTTATAGTTTTTAAATCAATGCTACAAAAAAAACTTGAGCAGCTCTATGATTTTGCTGCATTCGGATGCATTTCAATTTGCACTATTGAGTTCGGAGTTTTATGAATTTGCTACATTCAGAAACAGGGTTATCCTCGTTTGTTTTATTTGTTAGTCATAGAAAATGAGTTTTTAACCTTCCAAATCCACTGCAAAGGCGGATTTTTGGAATGGAATGGATTGACAGACGGATGTGTACAAGATAACATTTTGAACTAATGAGGGTCACTATGAAAATTTGGTTAAATGGAAATGATTGTCAGATTATGAAGCTATGTGGGAGCCATACGATTTGATCTAACAGCAGTTTCCTCTCTTCCACCTTGAGGATAAAATGTCTTTTCGGGAGGGGAGTAATGTTAGACCGGTGCCTACAGCGTGTTCCGTCGCACCGAGCTAGCCAAATAATTTGAAAACTTATTTTAGGGACAGGCTAAAAGGACAATTTAGTCTTTTGTTAATTATTATTGTGGGATATAAATATGGTTTAATATGTTAGGATTATGCTATGCATGCGTGATTGCTTTCGTGAGTCTTAGGAGTAAGGGTTTGGGAGAGATCGTCTACCTCTCGAATTGTAGGTGTTAGAGTTTAGGAGAGATAACCTACCTCTTGAATTTGGGTTGTATTATTTTGTGCCAGTGAAATAAAATACTTTGCTTGCCCTGCTCTCCGCATAAGTTCGTCTCTTTTCTATCCGAAAACTATAAAGAATCTACTTTAAAATTGAAAAAGAAGCCCGAAGAGATCAATAAAAAATGAAAACCATTAAAATATATGCATATAAAAGAATGCAAAAACAATTACCAGAGCCAAATAGTTAGCAAAAAGCCAATGATGATGATGATACAAAAATAATGCAAGATTCTGGCATCAAACAGCACAATTTCAAACAGCAATAGTGAATAACATACACCCCCATGCTCACAGCAGTAGCAAAAACTTCTGGCCGAACTGTAAGGAGCAGTGACTTCGACCTGCTCACCTGCATCCAAGGAACCTGCAAAACAAAAATAAAAAAGATGTGATGGTGAAACCATGAGAATGCAAGGCAAACATGATATCTTAATGCACGTCCAAGTGAAACATTTAGAAAGATAACAGATGAAAATGTGAGAATAGCTTTTATTACTCTCTCTCTCTCTCTCTCTCTCTCTTGCATACATACAAACACATACATGTGTCTGTGTGTGTGTAAATATATATATGGGCATTTACGTACATACCACCCAATTCCTATGTATTTACATATCTATCTTAAATTTTGTTATTACAGTTCTGCTAACCAAACCTTTCATATCACATAAAATACCACTATTTTAACCTTTTCTAAAGAAGCCAAATAAATCTTTTCATGCATAGGTAAGATGGAATATATGTGAAAAATGAAGTTTAGAAATTATATATGTAAATACTCGTATACATATTATTGAATAAAGGTTTCACACATTTTAACCAATAGAAGTAAATGATGTATTCAAGAATTTAGAGCCTTTTAGAAATGGAAAAAAGGCATTTGGATGCCGTGACGTATTTCTCATCGGCTTCTTTTTTAAAATAGTGAATGTGACGTGACATCTAAAAGTTCAAATGAAGACATTTATGGTTATTTTGAAGAAAAAAATTAAATTTTACACCAAAAATTGAAGAAATTTGTGCACGCATTTTTTTTTTTATTTTCACATAAAATTAAATATTCACAGTAGTTTTGAAGATAACATTAGATTTGAGGAGACTCACAATTGCGATTTAAAAGTTCTAAATAATTATTTTTTTCTTAAACACATCTAAATAATTATTTTTTTCTTAAACACATGACTAATGCCACATGTCATGATTTTAGAAGGCTATGATGAAAAAAGCATCAGAATTTCCTTTACACGATTTTTTTACTTCAGAAATAAAGTCTACCAGTATACTTTCTATATGACATGCAGCAATTTTTTTTAAATATTTTCCATTTTCACGTTATTGTAATAAAATAATATCTGCTGATATTTGTAATTACTACATAAAAAGGTACATATTTTCATGTCCAGTTTCAGAGAACTATCATTCATTCATTTGACTATTTTAAAATCTTCTCTTAAGAAAATGATAGAAGCAATAAAGAGCATCTATACTCCAGCTCTGGTTGAATGCATGTACGCTGCTTCAGCTAAAAAAGCAGCCACATAGCAAGTAGGTTTTAGGCTTTGTACGGATCTAAGAAAAATGAACGAATAAAATGAAATTCAAAGAGCTTGTGGTCTGATTATGAAACTGCTGACAGTTAATTTTTAATCCGTTTGGGATTGCTTTTATTTATTTTTTTGTTTTTTTATTTTACCTGAAACAAAATATATTTGTTATGTTAAAAATATGTATATGTTTATTGAATATTAAATAAAGTTATGTGAAGATAGTGATGATTGCCAACGAAACTATTGCGGCCAGACAACGTCCTCCATTATACAACATCTGTCAAATAATGGCGGTGGAAATTGTGTTTAAAAACAATCAAAATACATAAATAAATGTAATAAACGTGTCAAAGGCTAAACAATAAAACCAAAAATGATCCCAAAGAAACATTCAGAGGCCATTTGAGATCACTTTTATTTTTTTATTTTATATTTTGTTGTTTTAATTTTATTTTGTTTATGTTTTGATTTGAAACAAAACATGTTTGATTATCTAATTAAATTATGGTTATTTTAAAAACAATTAAAACATATAAAAATTATTTGAGTGTTTTAAAAAATAAATTAAGTTGTGATGCAAGGGCTAGGGCCCAGGGCTGAACCAGCCGGCCCTAATTAGGGCTGGGAGCTGCTACCTCTTCTCCTAATTATCTTATTTTATTATAAATACATTGTGTTAGGGCTTAGTTTTTTGGGATTTGAGAATTTTTTCAAGCTTGCCGTCGATGTTTATTTTCTTTTCTAGGGTTGTATCCACAGGTGAGAAGGTGCTTCAGTTGTAACTCGTCTAAGGTGGTGACCGTCTCCAAGGGTCCAAGTGGTGCTTCGGCTGTAACTCGATCCCGTGGAGATATTTATCCTTCCCAACTCCCCTCCGCAACCTTACATGACCTACCTGTTGACTGCCAACCACTACTTGGCCTCCCTGTCGTGCCACCCTTCCTCCTTTGTGGCTGCAATCTTCCCCACACCCTACAGCTCCATCCAGTGATACCACCTGCAGCAAATCCTGCTGCCGTTAGTCTGCTCCTCTGCTGA